TTTTTTGGTTTTTTGAGACAGGGTCTCACTATGTAGTTAAGACTGACCTGGAACTCACTATGTAGCCCAGGCTGGTCTCGAACTCATAGTGATCCTCCTGCCTCAGCCTCCCGAGTGCTAGGATTACAGGTGTGTGCCAGTATACCCAGATACACTAAGCCATTCTTGCCTCTTAGAGATAAACTCCACTTGGTCATGATGTATAATCCTTTTTTCATGCACTGTTGGATTGATTTTTGCTAGTATTTTGTTGATAATTTTTGCTCATCAGGGTTGTTGGTTTATAAATTTCTTTTACTGTACTGAATTATCAGGCTTTGGTTTCATGGTAATGTTAGCCCTAAAAGAAGAAGTCACGATGTAGTCCATTTTCAAGATTTTGTAAAAATTTTAAAAGGATGGGTGTTAGTTCTTTAAATGTTTGGTGGAAATGCAGAATTTCCTTCCTTTAAAAGGCTAAATATTCTATTGTGTATACATGCAATACTTTGTTTTTCATCTGTTGAACAGACTGCTTTCACTTTCTGGCTACTATGAATACTACTTCTATGAACATAGTCCTACAAATATCTCTTTCAATTTCTGCTTTCAATTATTTGGGACATATGGCCAGAGTGAAACTGCTGAATCATATGGTTATTCAACTTTTCATTTGAAGAAATGCCATACAAAAAACAAATAAACAAACAGAATTGCCATACCGTTTTCTATAACAACAGCAACATCCTACATTCCCACTGACAGTGAACAAGGGTTCTAATTTCTCCACATTCTCACCAACCTTTGTACTTGCAAGGTAGGCAAGGCACGGCACCAGTGAGCTAAATCCCCAGCCCCTATTTTGTGTAGTTTTGATAATAGCCATTCTTAAGGGTGTGAGGTGGTATCTCACTGTGGTTTTGATTTGTGCATTTCCCTAATAATTAATAATGGTGAACATATTTTCATATGCTTATTGACCATTTGTATATTTTCTTTGAAATGTCAACTCAAATTGTTTGTTCATTTAAATTAGTTGGAGTGTCTTTCGGTGGTACTGGGGATTGAACGTAGGACCTTTGCACTAAGCTCCCTCCCTCTTTTTATTTTGAGACAGGGTCTCTCACTAAGTTACCCAGGCTGAACACTGCAATTCGCCTGCCTCCACTTCCCAGGGTGCTGGGATTATAGGTATATGCCACCATGCCCATCTTTTCACTTTCTTGGTGATGTACTCTGATGTACAAAAGTTAATTCTGATCAAGTCTGGTTTATGTACTTTATCATTTTGTTGCCTATGTTTTTGGTATCATATCTAATATTGTTTGTCAAATTAAAGATTGTGATGCTTTACTTATATTTTCTTCTAGAAGAATTGTATTTGTTTCATTGCTATAATGAAAGTATCCAAAGCTGAGTAATATTACAAAGAAAAGAGGTTTAGGTTGGTCATAGTAGCACATGCTTCTAATCCCAGATACTCAGGAGACTGAGGCAAGAGCATCACAAATTTGAGCCCAGCCAGGGCAACTTAGTGAGATCCTGTTTCTAAGAAAAAGGGCTGGAGATGTGGCTCAGTGGTACAGCTATTGCCTAACATATATGAGGCCTTGCTTCACTTCCCAGTATTGCACACACATAGAAAAGACGTTTAATTTAGCTTATCATTTAGGAAGCAGAAAGTGTTAAGGGGTCCCCTACCTACATTATATTATGCCAAACAGCATCATGGCAGAAACACTGTGAGATGGAGAAATAAAAGGTGAGATAGAAAGCCAGAGTCCACGCAGGGTTGCATCTTGCTCTTAAATAACAGCTCTTCTCACAGGAACTAATAGGGTCCTTACCAAAAATACATTAACCTTTTCTAAGGGCAAAGCTGCTCCCACTAGGCCCTAGCCAAGAAAGGTTCCACACCACCTCCTAACACCACCACTCTGAAAACTAAGCATGAATTCTTGGGAGACGAAGTGCAGTAAATCACAGCAAATTCTGTAGTTTTAAGACTTACCATTTAAATCTTAGAAGACCCATTTTGAGTTAACATGGTGAAGAATGGGTCAAATTTCATTCTCTGCATGTGGCTACCCAGACGTATTAGCACTATGTGTTGAATTCTCTCTACTGAGTGTTCTTGGCACCTTTGTCAAAGATCAATTGACTATAAATGTGTATAGGTTGACAATTTCTAGATCTTGATTCTGTTACACTACACATTAGTTGTCCCTCCTGCCTGATAATAAGCATGCTCCTTTTGTCTTCCTCCCCTCATTTGCTATTAAAAATGAACAGAGCAGGCCTAAAGACAGAGTCCTGAAGCAATACGTAGAATACTTTTGCTTGGTTTCTATTAAAACATCAGTCCGTATTCCTATATTAGTTATGAATTCACTTAAACCTGCTATCATTTAGTCATTATTCCCTAGAAAGAATCACTCCAAGGCCAGGAATTTAGCTCAGTGGTGCTGCTGCCTGCCTTGCAAGTGCAAAGTCCAGAGTTCAATCCCCAGTACCAAAAAAGAAGAAGAAGAAAAAAACAAAACAAAACAAAAAACACAATCACTCCAAAAAAATGCCCTACCATAATGAACATGTTGTCCTAATAAGAGACTATCAGTGCAAAGGTAAAAGAATGACTTACCATTTTTTTCCCTTAAGTGTTCAAATTCTGTTTAATAATCTTTTTTGTTGTTTTTATAGGAAAAACACTGATTTGTAATATGGGGGATTAAAAATCTACTAACCTACATACTAGCATATAGACATCTGAGGCCTTTAAATGTTGTTCTGATTCTGTAGCAATAAAAGTTACTTCTCATCTTAGTTTCCTCTGCATTTACATTCTTTTTCCTTTTCAGCTGTTTTCCCATTTAAAAACTAAAAATATTTTGCAATTATGTTACCTATTAGTGACACCATTTTTTCAATTATGAAACAAATTTTAAAAATGATATTCCCATAGAAAATATTAACAGTTTAAACAAAATATGGATGATTATCTAGTTAATATAGGAAACGTGTCAGCTTCAAAGCCCAATGGAAAAAAAAGTACTTTAGTAAATATATATATAGATATAAATTACTTTTCTTCTTATTATATATTAAGTCAAAAATTCAGTGACTCTTGGAAACAAATATTTCAATGTATTTGTCCTTTCATCTCACCTGAAAAGTGCATATACCAGGGAAGCAATCAAAGTGAAACTGACCACAACTGCCACCAGAACTTGGTCACTCACTCCTTCTATAACGGAATCAGCATTCAGTTTCAAACTTTGAACTTCACCTTGATATTTGGCCATTCCAGGTCTAAAACATAAAGAAACAAGATAAAAGTTACTAACAAAGTGAAAATTATGTTAATAAATGCAATATATGTACAGCTGTCTTCTAGTATATTTAATATCTGTAGCATCCTTTTCATATAGCCTATGTTAAGCACAATGCCAGTGAAGATTTTCCCATTAAGAGTTCTTTAAAATTTGCCAGAAACATTATGTGGGGGAGTACAAAACATTATTTCCCTTAAGGAGAGCAACTAATATAATTTACCGTCTATTTTTAGTTTTTAAGACCAAAAAAATTTACTCTTTTCTCCTCAAGCTTAGTTCCTTTAAGGAAAAAGATGTTCTTCTTGCTGGAGTGCTCCTTTCTAAATCCTGGATATCAAATAATCTCTCCAAGTAGACCAGATTCCTCCTCTCCCTCACAGAACTGAATGTGTATGCCTTTTGGAATTTACCATGTACGGATGTCTTCTGTAAATACCTAATGTAGGATCTGTACACAGGAGGCTGTAATAAATGTGTTTACATAAAAATGATTTACCAAAATTAAAAGTGTTAGTAATCTGAAAGATAAAAGACATTAAAAATCTTACAGTCTTTATATCAATACCAAGACTATTTGAATTAATGAAAATTCTGGTGCTTGAAAAACAATTAGCCTTACCTAAAACTAGGCTGAGCTTATGGTTCAAATTTTTCTGAACTTCCTGGAATATGGAACCACTGTGCGGCTCTATTTCCTATGAAGAGGAGATGGATATGAAATTTCCTTCCCATACTCAAAAACTAAAGCACAATGGTAGGACCCAATTCTAGAGGTATGAGAAGAGAAAGCTCAACGGCACTGGAGTTCAAATATCGTAAGTAATTGATATTTTTTTCAGACTACAAAACTATAAAGTTCAAAGTTTTAAGATACCTAAAGAGTAAAAAATAATTATTAAATATATGTAATATGAAAGTTCTGCATTAATGTAACTTATTGAATTGAAAAGTTTTACTCAAAATCATCATTATTCAGATAAATCTGCTATGAGGAAATTTTGTGTGACAGTCTTAACACTTTGGTAATGAATCTCAAATGGCTGCTAGTAGGAAAATTACCTCTCCTGGAAGAAACCACAACAAATAAACAGATCAAAGGAAGGTTCATAAGCTTTATACAATAGCCTGATACATCAGGAACTTTCTAATGACAGGTTTCAAGTGCTCATTATGAGCCAGATTAGGGAGTGGGAAACTGGCTGGGGGAGGAAAGGTAACCAGTCCATCACAGTTCCAGGACACTTCCCAAAGCCCGGTACCTGGGACCAATCAGAGATTGCTAACTTCAATTCTTCTTACGGGAACTCAACCAGTTTTTGAGAAGAGAACTCAGACTCGAAGTCAGCCTGAGAAATGGGAGGAGATGGCTGCCATTGCCTCTTCACGGTGGTCTGCTCTCACTCTGCAGATTATACTTCTATTTTTAATTGGCCCACATGCACTCTGCAGAGCATATTTCTTTTCCTACCATTAATAAATGTAAAACCTCACTACTATTTGCTTTTTTTTTCTTTTTTTGAGACAGAGTCTCACTATATATGTAGTTCAGGCTGGCCCTGGAGCCCAGGCTGGCCTTGAACTCTCAGTGATCCACAAGCACCTGAGTGCTGAGATTACAGGTATGTGCCACCACACTGAGCTTTCTGCCTTTGTCTTGACCAATTCTTTGTTCGGGACAGAACCTAGAAACCACCTCTTGAAGGAGACCCCAGGGTTAAGGAACCCTGCAACAAGTACATGCCAGGAAACTCAAAGAGCCCTGTGTTCAGTAAGAACAAATGAACTGCAGCTCAAACTGGGGGGAAAAAGGCCTCAAATAATCTAAGGGTGGGCAAGACAGTTAACTGTTGTGTCAACTTAAATCAGAACTGCCCAACTAACTAGATTAACATAGTCCTGGGTGTGGCTGAATGGATTTACTGGAGAAGGAAAACTCACCCTAGGTCTGAGTGGTACCAACCAAAAGGCTTGTATCCTGGATGGAATAAAAGGGGGAACAGAGCAGGCTCCATTTTGTTTCTTTGGAGGAGCTTCAGCCTTTACCTTCACCTTTTGCATCCACTTCCTGGTTTCCAGCATTTCACCTCCTGACATGGACCTGCATGGGACTCTAGAGTGAGGTCCAGGCCTTTGGCCTTCAACTGGATCCTTCAGATCTCTAGCACACAGAAACCTTTTTGCATTTTTCCACACCAGACTCTGCAGGAGGCCACTGTAAGCCTACCCCGTAATCCTTAAATACACTATTTACGTATCTTATGTAAAATGTTTCTCTAATGAGCACTGATACAGTGAGTCAGAGAGATAATAGATTTTTGTTTTAATTTCCTGTTTTTAAATTAAAAATGGTATAGCTGTAATTCAAAGTCATAAAGGCAGTGTAGTGGGCACTGAAAAATGGAACTTTAAAAGTTACATATATTTTTTTCTTTTAGAGATAAGCAACTTCCCCAAACTCCCTTCTTCAAAGCACATGATCAACACACCCTTTGTCTCAACCCAGATAAAGTGACAAAATATCAGAGGCTGAGGCCTGGAAACTAGTTTCATTTCCACAAGAAAGGGAGCAGGGAGCTCAAGACAGCTGGAAGTGATAAACAAGTAGAGAGAACTGCATTCTCTTTCTGTGCACCCCTCCTCTCTGTTCCTTAGTATAAAAGATCCTTCCAACCTGCACACAGCAAAAACGGTGATTTGAGGCAAATGGGCCTCTCCACCTCCTCGGAGCTAGATTTGAATAAATCTTTTTTTCCTTTTTACCAAAACATATGGCCTTTGATCTTGTCAGCAGCAAGCAAATAAACCTGTCATGGTAACACTGCTTGTACCTGCTGCTCAGAAAATGTTATCCCTGTCAAGATTCCCAGCCTGCAGTTGCTGAATCGAATTACCACAGAGTAACAAAGATTAAATGAAATTAAGAGGGAAAAGTGCTTTGCAGGTTAAGTGCATTGATACAATATGATTACTCATATTTTCTGTCATGTTTGTACATTTAGGCAGTTTATCATTTAATACTTAAAAATGTCAATTTGTTTCTGTATCCTTCTAAGTGTAAACAGTGGTAATATGACTAAATTTTACTGCACAAATTTTACACAGACTGTGTAATTTGACACCTATATTATACTCAATGGGAATTATGGGTGGGTAGCAGAGATGCATACCATACTTTTCTAATGAAAATACGTACACTAGCATAACAGAAGCCAGATGTGCCTCTCAGTAACTGTACTGGGGACTACAGCACAGTGCTGTTCACCCACTTGGTATGTCAAACAGCAAGGTGTATGCACATGTGTAAAAGGGTCAGCAGGTGAGTTTTACCCATATTACAGTTACATAACTGTGCATCTATAATTTGTTTCATTAAATGTTTTCTTATAAAATTAAACCAATTCAGTACCATGATGCACGAAAATCCACTTTTACAACTTCAGGAGATTGAAAGTGAGTCATTAGGGGATTCAGCTACCAATGAAGACTTGGATCATGTGAGCCAAAGAAGTTAGCAAGGTATGACAGAGAAGTACAGAATGAAGACCTTGATTCAGGTGAGAAAGAAAACAGTAATGTAAATAAATGTTTGACTAATCAAAATGCTACAAAATGCTAAAGTATACCTGAATGATCCAACGTTAGAACTAAGTCAGGAAATGTTATTAGGTTCTTGACAGGGGTAAAACCTACTGGACAAAACAACGCTGCCATTCAATGTTGGAAATTGTCTGTAATGATGATATGCTACAAAATGTTGTGAAATACAATTAATGAAATACAAGTAAAACATTCTATATGTATCAGTAGTAATATACAAAATATATTTATCATGATACCTATCTGAACTAAAAGCCTTCATAGCAGGACTTTATCATTCTAATAGACTCTAGAGAATTTATGGAGAAGTGACAGATGTATGTTGAGATTTTTAGAATAAAAACACTATAGAGATTTGATTTCTTTCAAAACTCTCTATGTTTTGATGACAAAAAGACCTGCCAAGAAAGAAAAAAAAAATCGACAGTATGGCTGCTATTCACTCATCTTTTGAAAGCTTTGTTTCAAACTGTCAAGCAATTTATACACTGTCTGAATACATGATAACTGATCAACAACTTGCATTGTTTCATGGTTGTTGAAGCTTTTGGCACTATATGCCAAGTAAACCTTCCAAATATGGTATAAAAACAAATGCTCTGGTAGAAGAGAAGACATTTTATGCCTTTAATTTAGAAATTTATCCTGGAATTCAGCCACCAGGCTTTATTTGTGCAGTAATAAACCATATGACATTGTGAACAAACTTGTTGCACCTATTTCAAAAAGTACTCCAAATGTCACATTTGACAATTGGTTCACTACTCAATGATATTACATTTCCTAGAAGAGTATCAGTTGACCAGCACAGGAACTATTCACAAGAACACAGCTAAGATTCCTGAAAAAATGTTGCACGTTCACAATAAAGTATAATACAGTCTTTGGGTAACAGTGGCCTCCTATATGGTGAAGAAAAACAAAGTAGTATTGATATTGTCAATGTTACACCATGATAAAATTGACAGGGAAGCCAGGTGTGGTGATGTTCACTAGTAATCTCAGCACTCAGGAGGCTGAGGCAGGAGGATCCTGTGAGTTCAAGATCAGCCTGTGCTACGTAGTGACTTCAAGGCTAGCCTGGACTACATAGTGAGACAGACACTATCTCAAAAAGAAAAAAGATTGGTGAATCCTCAACACAAATGTAGCGAGAAATGGTCACATTTTATAACCAAATGAAAGGCGGAGTAGATGTTGACAAGTTATGCAGCAACTAAGAAGTCCCTCGTAATACAAAGTGTTGTCCAATGATTGTGTTTTCACTTGACCCTAAACATGTGTGGCATAGTTTCATAGTACACAAAGAAAATAAGCACAAAATATCATGGAGATACTTAGAGAATTGCGACAGGAATTGATAAATGAGCAATAACAACAGAGGAAGAACAGTATGTATCTGCCCAAAGAACTCCACAAAAGAATTCTGTAGCAGACTGATGAACACACAGGTAAAATATCACAAGAACCTCCTAAGTACGTTCTACCAGAAAGAGGAAAATAAAACACATGGGCTGTCATTACAAGCTATACTTGTATAGGTAACATAGTGTTCTCATGTGTAAAAACTGCCTTTGGTGCGATAACTGAAGTAAAGACTATTTTTGTGGGAGTTCTACTTGTATTTTTATTGCACTTCACATAGAAATTTGTTATCTTTTAGATTTAAGAAGTAAACAGTTGATACAGAAAATGGTGGTTTATTCTAAACATTTGGTACATATTTTATATTTCATTTTTCTGCTAAGTGTACATTGTATAATACACCCAGTGGACTCTTGACTTGTGAACTCAATTTGTTCCCAAGAGTTGATTGTAACTCAAGTTGGTCAGTTGAAGGCTCAGTCAGGCTCTTCTACGTAGCCTTCAAAGTCCCTCTCCTGCACACAGGCAGATCTCTGAGTCCTTAGAGACACTGGCCTAGGATTTCTCAATTAACCCCATACAGGAAAGGATGCTGTAATGCTCCTTCCAGAACTCTTTAAGGGTTAAATCTATATGAGAGAGCATCTGAAAGCACAAGTGGCTGACATTTGGGTCATAATTCAAGACTTTGGTCATAATTCCAGTTATAACTCAAGTTGTTCATATGTCAGGCCAGTCATAACTCAAGGGCCCACTGTAATAGGAGCCTCCTGACAAAACAGGAAGACAAGAGCAGTGACAAGCATGATCTACCAAAAAAGATAGGAAAATAAAACACATGTGCTGTTAAGTGTGATGATACTTGTGTATGGGACATGCTGTTTTCATATGTGAAATAATTTAAGGTGTGATAATTCAAGTAAAGAATATTCCTCTGGTAATTTTATTTGTATTTTCACTGTAGCTAAAAGGAATTTATTTCTGCTCTTATTTATTTATTTATTTATTTATTTAGTACCAGGGATTGAACTTAGGACCTTGTACTTGCAAGGCAGGTGGCAGAATCACTGAGCTAAATCCCAGGCCCTATTTTTTAGATTTTGTAAGCAAGTAAACAGCTGATGTTGAAAATATTGATGTGTAGTTTACACACTCATTATATATTTGATATTTTATTTTATTGTTATTTCATTTTCCTTGTAAGTATACTTATATAATAATAGGAAGTTCTTGAGAAAAGAGGAAGACCAGGAAGGTGACAGGTATGACCTGCCAAAACAAGAGATAGGAAAGCAAAACACACATTCTGTCAGTGAAAGTGAGACTTGTGTTTGGAACATGCTGCTGTCATGTGTGAAGACAACCTTAGGTGTGGTAATTGAAGCAAAGATTATTTCTGTGGTAGAATTTTGCTTCTATTTTCATTGTTGTTCACATATGAATTTATTTCTGCTGTTTTTTAAAATCTTGTAAGCAGGTAAACAATTGATGTTGAAAATGATAATGTTTATTCTACATACTTATTACATATTAAAGTTTAATTTTATTGATTTTATTTTCCTGTTAAGTACAGTTTAATATAACTCATTGAATTAAAAATTCATAAAATGGAAATACTTAAAAAAAAACCCAAGTGTTATACACCCCCATAATATGCCTTTCAAAACAATTTGTCATGATATCCCTGGGTAAAAGATTGCTTCCTGAACACTTTTAAGATGTCAGAGACCACAGATACTTTAATTAGTGCACTGCCATATTATGCTACTTGCATTATTTTCCAACATATGTTTGCAATGCTGTTCAGAGGAACAAAGAGATCAATTGCATTTTCCTCTCCTGAAAAAATATCAACCAACTCTAGGAATGTTACATGGAGATCTTCTAATGTTTGATTCACTTGTTGAGGCCTTCAATAGTAGTTTTTTCATAGTTTTTCTTAAAATCAGAGTAAAAAACAAAGTGTAGGAGCTAGGTGTGGTGGCACACACTGGTAATGCTTGCTACTTAGGAGGCTGAGGCAAGAGGATCACAAGTTTCAGGCCAGCCTTGCTTGACCGTGTTGCTTTTTGTGAAATCATGGGAGACTTTTCCCTCTTGGTGATGGTCTTTTGGCACACTGTACATTTGTTGATTCTGTCCTCTGCGTTCAGCAATCTCCCTGCTCAAGAGGTTGTTGGGCGACTCACCAAAGTTGTAGGATCCTGTAGAAAAGTTTCCCTCATGTCCTGGGTCCTCACTGACCTTGGAGGGCCAGGGCCAAAATACTGGCTGTCCTCTTAGCCCTGTTACCTTTCTAGTTCTGGTCTCCAAACTTTAGTTGTTGAATACCCAGAAGAGAAGATCAATGACATTAGTATTATAGTGGGTGCAGTGAGCTTACCTATTATAATTTTATCTGGCTATCAAACACTTTGAAAAATAAAGTACAGCCAGAGGACTGTTTTTTTTTTACCAACCCTAATTATTTTAGTAGTCAAATCCATGCAGAATGTTAACAGACAATAGTTAAGTAGCTTTACAGAAAAAACTTGAGATCAAGAGCTACACATAATATTTTAATGTGAGAATCATGATGACGCTATCTTTGTAACACACTTACATGTTCATCTTAGTACAAAACAGCCTTCTTAGTCAAACACCTCCGTTTATAAGATATTAAATGATATAAGGAAAACTCTCACCTAATTTGTTATCCTTTAATATGTTTGGTGTCTGAGTATCCCTACGTGACACATATAACATACACATCACATCAAAACTATCATCTGACTGGTGATCTCATGTTGGCTTGACATCTTATCATAAGTAGCTGGAGTGCAAGAGAAAGACAGATACTTGAGTCAAAAACAGGTTATTACCATAACATCTTAGAAGACCTGTACACATGGGAGGCATGAATGCATTTAGTACACCATGAAATTAGTAATAACAAGTATCATAACTATATGAAAAACCTTTGTCCCTTAATTTAGTTTTGTACCCTGAGTACCTTGTAATGAAACTGTAGCTACCTCCTCCCTTTCGTAATAGCCCCCAGGCAGAAAATTGGGGCTCAAAAACAGGGTACTTGATACAACACCTCATTTTTTTTTCCCCACAGAAAACTTAACCTTTTGATGATGACAAATGTAAACATATTTCATAATATTTAGCAATTGTTTATTGGGGTGAGTCTTCCATAAGGCAATGGAAATTATTGGGTTACCCTTTGTGAATGAAGGCTGGAACAAATGACATTTCCAGGCAGCTGACCCTTCATTTACCATGGGGAGCCCTGTCCAGAAGTTTCTCTAAGCCCAAGGATCCCAATTTAATTAACAGATATATACATGATATATGAGAACCAGATCGTAACAAATTCCCAAGCTAATGTACATAAACAATGTATTGAATTTGTAAAACCAGTCTTGACATCGGCGTGATCGGCTTGCCACCTAGGTGGAAGCGTGTCTTTGACTCTAATGACATCTACAAGCCAACTTAAGTTATGGGCAAATACCTTTTTATAAAAATATAAAATTTTTTTAAAATACAAAAAAATAAAAATAAAAAAGGAGAAAAAATTGTTGAGCTCAAACAACTGTACATGTTGTAAGACAATTTGTTTATACAACCAGAATGCACCCAGATGTATTTGACAAAGTTGAATTGTAATAAACCTTTTATAATTTTTGGGTCTGTAACTATAAATGAGAACATTCAGAACTTTTTGTATATCAAGTACAGAGATTTCTTATAATAAGAATCAGAAGGAATAAAAACCTTTTACACCTGTGAAAGCAAAGACAGTTTTTAAGGTGGACCCTAGGCTGACAGTTTATCTGACTGGAGTATTTAGGTAACACAGGCTTTTCAGTGTTGCTGATAGCTATACTTGCTGAATAATCACAGCTGATAGCCAAAACTGCTGTTTCCTCCAGAGAAGCAGGCTATCAAGAGGTAATTTTAAAGTTTCCTAGGAATCTTTTGTTCTATCAATGAACTGTGTTATAAAAATCAGTCAGCATAATTTTTGAGAAGGGAAGGAAGAGGAGTTAAATCTCTAGTTCTGCGTAAAGGCTGAAAGGCAGGTAAATGTGAACTAAACTTTTATTTGTATTTATTTTTTTAAGTGTTAGGGTTAAATCTATACCAGTTTTTTTTTTTTTTTAATATGTCGCAGAGATCATTGAAGGTAAGCTATACTGTGGAAGGGTCACAGGGAGGGGAAACTCACCACCTTGGAAACTTGGTCCTGAAATCCAGCAGCCACAGAGAGAACTGCCTTGAACAAAAACACTGTTGAAAACTGTTATTTTTCAGGAGCAGGGCAATGGAGAAAGGACAGAAGAGTGACTCGAGTATGGGACAAGAATTAAATTTGCCAAGCAGAAAATTAAACCAATAATCAAACTGAATGGCTGTTTTTCACCTCTTGAAAGACAGTGAGAGAATGAAAGTGTTTTAACTATATTGCTGAGGGTTTACTTTTTAATAAATGACTGGATCTATAATATCTAATTTATAACTCAAATACCCTACAGACCATTAAGCAGGTCTCTAATCTTGTACAAGCATTCCTGAAACTATGCCCCACCTTCAATAACAAACTGAAACGGTGTCCTCTCAGTAGGCTCACTGCTGGAGCATTTAGAAGCATTTGTTTGAGTTCTGGAATGTGGTCTTAATCCCAGGTTAAAATATAGGTGTCTTCTATAAGTTGATAGAGGGGGTCACACAATCTTCAACATTTCTTATTATCCAAAGGTGACAAAAGCCTATAATTTTAGGAATTCCCTTAGCTGCATTAGAGTCTTGGGCTGTGGGAGGGAAACTATGAGTTTAATTCTTTCTTCCCCAGTCTTTGGGTTCTCTTAGATATGATAAGGCCCAAATATTTTACCTCAAGTTGCAAAGTTGCTCCTTAGATATAGTAACTATATTAACCCCTTTCTGCTAGGAAATTCAGCAGAGCACAGGTGCCTCAGCTAGAGAGCTCTTCTGAGGAGGCACATAACAGTATATTGTCTATATCTGGTAAGACCATGACTGGAAAAAAATGATAGTATTCAAATGAGATAAAACTTTCTCCCCAGGGGAATTGGACCTTTGGGGATAATTAAAAGGAGTGTATAAAAAAGAAAATTGTGAGTTACCTCCTCTCCTGTGACTCCTTTCACTAAAGTACAATGGCTGGAAGATCAGGGTTAAAAAACGACCCAGAGATGTGTGGTAGTTGTTTAGCCTTAGGCCAGTTTTTCCTATAGTTATGATTACCTGGAGTTTCTCTGCGGAGAAGACAGTCCAGCCAGAGGGAGAAGGGAGAGAGTGCCCTGGGGCTCTTTAGTCTTCTGAACCCATTGGTAAATTGGGCCTGAGCTGCAGGGCCCCACCTCAGAGCACAGTCTTGAATTCCAGTGGCCATCCTGGCAATCATGACATGGCTTAGGGGGCCTCTTATTGCAGTATCTCCTAAGGTGGCCTGGCTTTCTGCAGCAATAGCAGATGAGGTTAGTTATTGAACTTTGTTTGGAGCCCCAAGAATCAGACTTAGGTTCTTTTTCTCTTAGGGCCACAACCAAGGCAGTGGCTTTCTCTTGGACTGTTTTCTCCTCTTGGCTTCCTCTTGGTCTCAATAATAAAATACGGAGGAAGCAATTTTTTTTTTTGGTACCGGGAATTGAACTCAGGACTATGCACTTGCGAGGCAGGCAGCAGAACCACTGAGCTAAATTCCTGGCCCTGAGGAAGCAATTTTTACTAAAGTATCAAGTGAGCTATCTCGAGTAAAAGCCATCTTTTGTAGTTTTTTTCCTAATGTCTGGAGCTGACTAGGTAATAAACTTATCTTCAAGGATGATCTGTCCTTCCACAGAATCAGGAGCTAGGGATGTATTTTTTGTTTGTTTGTTTGTTTTTGATTTTTGGTACCTGGGATTGAACTCAGGACCCTGTGCTTGCCTGGCAGGCATGGCACCACTTAGCTAAACCCCTGGCCCGGAATATGTTTTATCAATGTCTTTCATAAACAAACTAAGAAGGTGGTGGGGTCTTCATATTTTTCCTGATAAACAGTTGATAATCTAAAATAATAGAAGGGCTTACTGTTTGTCCTTCTTAGACCTTCAAGATCACAGTCTCCTGTCTGACTGCCAGGCCAGTGAGGGTTTTGTATAGGAACTGCTTGTGTTACAGGAGGAATCAGTTGTTCCCCAACTGTCTTCTGGTCTTTCAAAATTAATAATATTCATACCCACATGTAAGAGCAGCATGTAGTGCTGCTTGTCTTTCATCAGAAGTCAATATTTGATTTAAGATTAACATTGTACCTTTCCAATCTAGCTCACAGGTTTGAGAGAGTTCTCTAAAGACCTAAATGTATTTATGGGGTCATTTGAAAACTTCCTTAGATCTTGTTATGTCTCAGGTCCCTGAAAGTACACATATACACGTTTGCTGGCTGAATTAAACTCATTTACTTCCTGCTGCTTATATTTACATTTTACACAAATAAAGATTTTCCCTTAATGCAAAGAAATCAGAACATAAGGCAATTCTGACCATTTTTATTCTCCCTTATAGTACAATTGTGAGATAGTATCATATTCAATACTTCCCTCTTCATTTCATTTTGGCTCTAGAGGGTAGGCAGGCATTGACTGCTTCTCCCTCCAAGAAGTCAGGCTCAGATAGCTTGCAAGAACTGTTTGTCCTTCATGCACTAGTGACTTACACGTGTGGGTTTTTTATATGCTAATTAGAATAAAAAGGGATTTTAATCAGCCTTTGTCTTTTCATGTGCATGCAGAAAACTGATAAATATGCCTTTATTAACATGTGAATTGTTGCTAGGTGATGAACATAAATTTAATCTGTGAATTTCAGATACTTAGTGATTTAAAATTGATATTGGTGCTGGGGATTAGCTTAGTGGTTCTACGGCTTGCCTTGCAAGCCAAGGACCCAAGTTCGATCCCCTGTCCAGTACCAAAAATAAATAAAATAAAATTGATTCCTCACCTAGCAGAAAGAAAAAGTCCAAATGAAATCCTAAGCTACCTAAAAAACCCCAAATAATCATCATATAGCATTTTACAAGTTCATAGTAAAAGGTTCAAAGCCCACAACTTGTTAATGAAGGTATTTTCTCCCCTACACACATAAATGATAAAGACCAGATCTAAGAAGGGAGAGAGAAAAGGATGGGGTAGTTTTTGAGATCCATTTTTCTAATTTTATATGCCTTTATAAGGAAAGTGTAAAATGGCAGGGAAGAATCAAAAATAAGATGAGGAAATGAGGCCTTTTCTTCTCATGCTCAAGATGAGTTATCAAAGACAAGTTGTTCCTGAAATGTCAATCTCAGACTGTAAAGGCAAGAATGGGGAATCTCAAGAGCTGATTCCCTCCTTACCAGAACATGATCAGACCAGAAAGTAAACTGAGGCAAAACAGGCCTAAAACTTTCTCTAGATTATAGAGGATTGAATCAGAATGTCTCAGTGAAATCTATTCCCCAAATCTTAAGAATAGTTACTGGCCTATCACCTTTTAACTGGCAAATGGAGGCCAATTATTTATTAATAGGCATGTATATTTTTCAAATATAAACTAGTTTATAAAAAGCCCCTACAGCATTTTCTAAATTTACTGATAGGCAGCACTCCAACACTACTTTTTTTTGCCTAGTGCTGTTGTCTAACAAAACAAAGAATGAATGCTAGCAGATTTAGCAACTTCAGTAATTAAGTTCAAATGTAAGATATACAAGACAGGAATAAAATTTAATTTTAACAAAAGATAATGCATACATAATTACAAGACATTAACACAATATCTAAATGATTCACAGTCCAGAGTCTATGAAACAAAAAGTTAGATTCTACAAAACTAAAAGCAAATTATTACCTCCATCCAATTATTTCAGTGGAAGACCTCCAAACAATATAGGTATAGACCTCCAAATAATCCAAATAAGGGAACTAATCCAAATAAGGGGAAATCTGTAACTCCCAACTTAAGATATCCGAAACTCTGAGTTTATTTTCTCTAAAAATCAAAGAATTCTAGGAACAATGGAAGTTGAGTACAGAATATTTACTGAGGGAAAGACAGCTCCTGCCTTAGAGGGACAGAAGAGGACATTAGGAAAGGTAGGTTGCCCATCCACACTGCTCCTCAAGGGTATTGTGAGTAAAGCCAAGAGGTAAGGCAGGTTCAACGCGATTACAAAACTGCAGTCCACTAATAAGATCCAATGGAAAAATCACAAGGTGGGTCTGAGATGGGGCAAAACTATGCTCAACCAATAAGACTACAAGTATA